TAAAATGGAAATTGGAAAACTCCTGGGATTAGTTTATTAAACATGTGGTTTCTCTCCTTTTCTTTAAAACCAATGCTTTGCATCGGGGCAACTAATAAATAGGCACGAAAAATACATTGCATTTGTGTGTAATTTCTGTGCAATATTAAAATCGAATCATGGATCTTTTAGCTTGGGAGCATTCCTTGGTTCATTTCTCAAGAAGAAAAAGTTATCTTTGCTAATGCTGCCCATGGCATTTTGAAATGTGGTAACCACTATAGAAATTAAAAAACAACAACAACAACAACAACAACAACCACCACAACAAAACCCTGTTCTACTGATGCTGAACTAAGCTCTGATTCTGGATTATTCTAACGACAAACAGGCAACCATGTGGATGGGGAATCTGTAAATCAATCACGGGAATACCAGAAGTCAGATTCTAGGTTAGTATGTTTGCTATGTTCTTGCCAAAATTTTCCTTGCTGTTAAATTAAAATGTTAGCTTTCAAGCATATGACAAATCTTATTTACTCTATTTATGGTTAGTTAATTCTCAATGAGGAGCTGTTTTAGTTATCTCCAAAATTTGTTCATGAAGCATCTATGAGGTATTTTAATCTAATAATATCCTTAATCTCTTTGTTTTTGCAACAAATTACATGTACAGAACACAGTGGTCAGACAGTATTTCTGCTTCCTTCTTTGTTCCCCCAAAATCAGATGAAAACGGAGAATGACAAGAAAGCAAGTTTCCACTACACAGAAGCAGAAAACAGGCTTACAAGATTGCCAGGTTATAGCCTAAAAAGATTAATTCCTGCACTTAAGCCATAATAGAGGACAATCTAGAGAGGACTGATGTTTAGTTGAATTGGTGCTATTTGCTCGGATGAAGAAGAAATAGGAAGCTGTTTTAACCTCCCATTCACACTGTAAAATAAAAGACAGCATGCACATAAGCAAACTCCAGCATTGAACTCTCACCAGTTTTCTTATAACAGCAATCTCCTAGGCAACTTGTGCAATGAAATGAAAGTAAGAGTACATTTTTGACTTCTGACCTTGTGACAATGGGTAGGTAACACTGGGGAGAAAGAAAACATGCCAAAACTCTTGTGGATCTTACAACACTGCAATGAATTTAACTGCAAACTAATTTCTTCTACAGTATAGACCAGAGGTGACCGGTATTACAAACCACACAGGAGTAGACTAACAGTGACACACAGGACCACAGCAGTCTCCACACAAAGGAGATAGCGGCTGTAAAGGCAGCAACTTCTGATCCCAGTTGCCTAAACTACTCATCCCTCTACAAATGGTCACAACAAGCTGGCATACCTGTGCTTGTACAGTCCAACATGACTTTGAGTTAAAGTGAAGGTATCTTGCAAAGCTAAGCTGCTTTAGGAACCTTCTTGCTACTCCTAGCAAAATTTAAACAAAAATAAGTACACGACTAAACTTCCTATACTGAAGTGTCATGTTCTCTGCATGTTGGCTTACTTTTAGTTCAGCTTTAAGCACAAGGCTAAGAAACTTCTTATCTTTGCAGCCATTTTCCTAAGTTCACTTGACAGTTGGGAAAGGTTAATATTGTACATGCAGCTTGTGGAGAATTTTCAGCCCCCTATAAGTTTAGGCACAGATCAACAAAGGCAATATTCAATCCTATCTGTGTTTTGGTGGTGGGGTAGCTATTGGCTACAGTTACATAACAAAACTACTTGTCATAGCTCAAAATACAACCTATGCAGTAAGTTTAGCAGATAGATCCTAGGGGGCATTACTCTAATTGTACATTTTGTAGAAATTACATAGATTTTTCCTTCTCCATTCTTAGCATTGGTTTTGTATGTTTTTACAATATGCTAAAATGCCAGGATCAGACAGCAAACAGTACAACTATAACAGGATTTATTTAGGTATCAAAGATATCTAGATTCTGTTCTGGTTTATTATTATTATTACTACTACTACCATTATATATTAACCCTGTACTGTGTGTGTTGGATAAGCACACACATAAAAAGGTTTAATATTTTTAACTATACTACATAGTAGCAGTTAGAACAGTACTCTTCTATAGGAACAGACTAAAGCATTTTAAGAAAAAGCAATCTACTATTCTGAGCATTTAATATTATTTGCTGTAGGAAATCAAGTAGAAGTTTAACTTTAGAAATTTAACGCTTTAATTGAAGTGCTGGGGGTTTTTGTGGCGGGGGTTTGGGGTTTTGGTTTTTTGTTTGGTTGGGGTTTTTGTTGTTATTATTTGGGGTTTTTTTGTTTTTGTTTAAAAAAAGAAAGTACAGCAGTACACTAAAAATAAAATATTAGTTATTCCTTTTCCTCTGGTTTATAATACACAGTGCATCACTAATCAACTATGTCAACAAATGAAGCTGCTTTAGGGGAAGTTCAGATTGGACATTAGTTCAATTCTCTGAGAGGGTGATCAGTCACTGGAACAGGTTTCCCAGGGCACTGGTCACAGCACCAAGGCTGTCAGAGTTCAAGGAGTGTCTTGACAATGCTCTTAGTCCCTTTAAGTTTTAGGAAGTCCTGCAAGGAACAGGGAGTTGGACTCAATGATCCTTAAGCTCCCTTCCAACTTGAGATATTCTAATATTCTATGTATAATACAGCAGGAGGTAACTGTAGTACATTAGTACAAAGGCTGTTTTTTCTCTTACAGCTGGAGTTCCCTACAAAAAAAAAATTTAAAAATCCTTCAATTAATTTTACCCATTAAATAATAAGCTGTCCAGAGGTGCTGTTCATATATTTTACTTACGAAATGAGAGCATTACTTTCCAGTCAAACTTCTTGGCAACTGGAGCAACAGACAAAAATCCTAAGACTTCATCCAACAGCTCAAATGGAAAGAGAAGGTAATTAGAAAAAAAAAAAAAAAGGAAGGGTGGATCACATTGATTATACATGCTGGAAAAAGGTGTTAGATAACACCTGAAACAATGATACAGAAATATTCTGAAAAAAAAGGGGTGAAGTACTTTCACAGGCAATTCAGGGGCAAGAACTTCCCTATTGAGGGTAAACTGATATATCAAGGTGGGAGTCAAGGACAACTTAATCAGCCTCAATTATGTTAAGGAGAGAGAGGGAGATAAAATAACAGAGGATCAGACTCAGCAACACTTTCACACAGCTGAGCCTTAGCCACTAAAGTATAGGATACAGGTTTTATAGGGCAACACTTGGATCGTTTCCGAAGTCAGGAACCTTGTAAGCTCCTCAGACATCATTTAAGGATTTTACACTCTTAAAGGTTTTGGAAATCTTTCTATCAGAAATATCCTACCTTCTTTAATAAGAAGAAAGTATGTCAGTTACAGAAAGCAAGTTCATGGCACATTACATTAGGTGAATTTAATGCTCAATTTTTTTTTCACTGTTTATAGATCAATTTATATTTGTTCTATAAAATCAGTAAGGTTTAGGTGAAAACTTCCAAAAATAGTCACATACATTTTCAGGCACTACTTTGTTGTGAAAATTATTGCAAAAACTTAAAGCTTTAGATTCTGAAAAATGCAATCAACTATGGAGGTACTTCAAAAAGTGTAGTTTTAAATATCCAATACCAAATTTTTGTATATATAAATATCCAATACCAAATTCAAGCTTTTTGAAAGGAAGTCGTTTTGGGCATATTTCTTTAGCTTCTCAAAATATCTATGTTATCCATTTTAGTATCTTCAATGAACAATATGTGACACACTAAAATTTCATTAAAAAATTAAAGGAGTTCTTATTTCTCATGTAGATTTACGTCAATATAACCATTCGTCTTATTCAGAAGATTTACGGCAGACAGGTTGGGTAGAAAGCATCTAACTTGTTTTCCCCTTATTTCATTCCTTCCCCAAAATTATTCCAAGCTTCTTGAAACATTTAAAATCTTGGAAAAGTCCAAACAGTCTCCTGACCGCCTTTTTGCCTCCTAAGAGTCACAGCTCATCATGAAACAAACAGGTTCACCAAAAAAATATGTCAAACTTGTGACAGAACTGATAGTATTTAGAGGCTGAAACACACTACAAGTCCTCTGAAACGAAGTTTACATTATGAAAATCATCAAGGTGGTGTCTCTTTTACTCCTCTGTACTGGAAGTTATTTAAAGAGTATTTTCAGTTTAACTCATTGCAGCTGAAAGACTTCTGAAATACAACACACTCTTTATATGCAACTTTTTTAAATAGAAGAAATCACATCCATGTAGCATAACAGTAACTAGGGGAATGAAAACAGAATAAATATTTATCAGTGCAAAGGATGCTTCATATATAGGGATAAAAAAGCAAATTATACTACCATGCATAAAATGTTCATGTAAATATATTTTATATAAGCACATAAAATGCCATAATTTATGTCTGCCTTTTTATTGAAATCCAGAAAGTGACAAAGTATTTATCTGGTGCTGTAATTTACAACATATAAATTTAATAACAGCAACAAATAGGTTTATACCTCAAGTGTCTCAATCTTGGCAAAGTCTTAGGTTCAAGAATTTTGGATATTTTATAATTACTTTTCCAGTATGAGGCACAGTTCATAATCGAGGGTATTTTTAATTCTTCTTCACTGTATGAACCCCAGGAGTTTAGAGATCTAAAAATTACTCAGAACCTCAATTGGTATTGGTGTTGCCTGTTTGGAATGTTACAGAAAGGCAATTTCTAAATATAAACAGGATAGCATCTGAGAAAAATGCCTTTTGTTCCTAGAATACTGTCCAAAGCTAAAGCATCTAACCTGTGTGTGATAAAAAAAATTCACTTAAAACCCTGGCAGTGTTCAAGGCCAGGATGGATAAGGCCTTAAGCAACCTGTTCTAGGGGGAGCTGTCCCTGCCCATGGCAGGGGAGTTGGGACTAGATGAACTTTAAGGTCCATTCCAACTCCTTAACATTCTATGATTCTATAAAACTCATATGGAAATCTTACATATCCACATCAATGACTAAATACTCGTACAGCTTTCCAATACTGTCCTGTTCAGCTGAGTATTCTCTGTGTGAAACAGGTTTTCGACTTCTGACAAAAAGCAATAGTAACTGAAAAAGCTTTCTTGAAACTTCTAAATAAGAACAAAATTTAAACAACTGGTTCTGGATTATAGGATTACATATATATACGTTGTACATACATATATACACATGCACGTGTGTGTGTGTGTATATATATATATTTATGTATATTTGTATATTTGAGGCTATTTGAGACTCCAGTGATGAAACAGAAAATGGAACTAAAATAACTCAATCACTGTTTTGCATAGCATATTAAGAGTGCAGATGAAACAAACAAAACCCAATAGCTCTAAAATACTTAAAAATATTTATGATAGCATGGGAAATGTCATTTCTGTTTTAAAAGTTGATAAGTGAATCATCTTCACCTGGTAAAGGAGGGGAAAGTGTAGATTTCTTGGAAATAGAGAGTAATTCATCAGACTTCACACCAGTCTTCCCAGAAACTGCAACAATTTGGGTTTTGCAGAAGGAAGGCACACACGTCAAGTTCACACCTTTGAAGAATTCACCCACATCCAATGCTGCTTCCTGTGCAATAACCCACGTGAACTATTTCAAAAACCAAGTCACATATAAAAATACTCCATTATTCCACAGGAGACACTCAGCAGAGGGTCCTGAATTCAACAAACAGTTAAACAGGCTTAAATAATGTCGTAGTCATAATGACGATTCAAACCCCAAGATCCAATCTAGCTGTATCGCGGGAGGACACAGGTTACAGAATAAGCCTGCAAACCAGGCAGTCTGCTGATACAAAAGCCGTGATAGAAGACTGTCACGGGGGTTTCCAGCTGCAGTGGTAACCCCAAAGGCTGCCCTGGCAGTGTCCTGCCCTGGCACTTCCAGCCCTGGGCCAGGGTCTCGCTGCTGCCAGCGCTGGGCCCGGGGCTCCCTGAGGTCCACACACTGGATCCCCATTTTCCTCCATACCCGGTTTCTCTGGCTTCCAACCCCAACCCGACCTTCACCTCTCTCCCCAACACCTCGCTCAGCCCTCCACCATCCCGAGCAAGCGCCCTGTTCACGCTCAGCCTCGGATCTTTTAATTCATGACGGAATCTGCCCCCGAAAGGCAGCGGATGGCGGAAGGAGGAGAAGGAATTAGATCGTTTCCTGTTGCTTTAATCTCCTCATGCGGGTTTTAGCAGCGCCGCCCGGGGCGCTCTGGCCCCTCGCCCGGAGCGAGAAGGCCGCAAATGAGCGGCCGCAGCTTGGCCCGCTCAGGCCGCGGGAGGCGGGGAGGGCAGGGGAGGAGAGGAAGGGAAGGGGGCTGCCCGCTGCCAGCTACGGACCCGCGCTGTCCGGACAGCCGGGCCGGGCTGGGCCGGGCCTGGCGGCGCGGTGAGACCGTGCGGCGCGGAGGCCCGGCACGGAGGGGAGAGGGGCGCAAGCTACACACCCAGCAGCAGCCCGTCCATGTCAAAGATCAGGTGAGTGACCGGGCGCAGCGCGGCCGCCGAGGAGCTGGAAGCGGACATGGCGAGGCCGGAGCAGCCGAGCGGGAGCGGAGCCGCCGCGGGGAGAGGCCGGGCAGGGCGCGGCGCAGGGGGGCCGGGGCCACTCAGCGGGTGCGGGAGCGCCGTGGGCCGGGCCAGCGGGGCCTCTGTTTGCTGTGTTCTGGTTTTAAAGCAAAGTCCGTTTCACTTCCTGGGGCGTCTTTTGTTGGAGGACAGAGCTTCTTGCCCATAGGGCTTGTGGAGTCTCCTTCACTGGAGATACTCAAGAACGGTCTGAATGCAATCCTGTGTCGTGTGCTCTGGGATGACCCTGCTCGAGTGGGCAGCTTGGACCAGATGACCCACTGTGGTTCCTTCCAACCTTACCCGTTCTGTGGTTCTTAGGTCCCCTGGCGCTACTGGCGAGTGAGACCGGGGAGTTCCTCCCAAATTGACGCTTCAAACAGCGTTGTCTCACAAACCTTTTGCGTGTCTGTAATGAGATTTACAGGGATGATATTACCACCAGGTGATAATTGGAGACATAAACAGAAAGGCACAAATCTATGTAAAGCTGTGAGGGAAGAGTAAAGTAATGGGGAAAAAAAAACCCCAAACTGTGAGGTTAGAGTAAACCCATCTCTTATGGTTTGTTGACTGCAAGAATAGTTAATTGAAGGTTGATATGAAGCAAAATCTCCCTGCATGGACACGTCATCCATTGGATTTTGACTGGGCAGTTGTGAGGCAAGGAGGGGACTTAATTCATCAGTCTTCCCTTTTTTATCTTTTCATGCAGGTAACTCTCCATTAGGCATCAAGATCACTGAAATACCAGTTGCAGAAGCAGACATGAAAAGAGCTGTATCAAGCTCCCAAGGTGACATACTGGCTTGAAGATTTGTACAGCTTTGCTGTTCCATGTGAAGGCAGTGGTTAGTTGAAGCTTCTCATAGGGGAAGTCCTGTCTCATTTGTAGGTAGGCCTTGCAGCAATTCTTTTTTTCTAACAATGCCTTCATTTGAATTGGCAATGCATCACCATTTTAGCAATTTAGTGGTGGTTTTTAAAGCCCTAACTGTAGATGTCATTTTAATTTAGCTCCTTTAAGCATCTTATCTACCCCTAAAACCTATCCCCCAAACTATACTCACCCTACATTTGTGTGAAATATTGACACAGAGTCTTCCTCATACCTTCTCCTGTCTTGGAAATAAGAAGACAAATAAAATATCCTTGGCCTTTACTTGTACCTTTTTAATAATAAAACTTGACTTTCAAACAAAGTTTTTTGAGTTTTTGATTGGTTTTCTCTTTTTTTCATCTTGTCTCATTCTGTAATGACAATACTGCCTATACCCTGCCTACATAGGCTAGGAAAAGGTCTGTGCACAGTACCTTAAATGTCTTTTAAAAATTCCACAGGTAGTCATCTGTTAGTTCTTGCATAGATATAAGAAAATGAGTCTTGCGATTCCAGATAATTTTTTTTCTTTTTAACCTCACAGTATGAGTGTTAAGAATGCCCACAGCTGTTTTGTTTCTGCAATAAACACTGTGCAACAAGTCAATATTCCAGCTTTGTTTCAGACAGCAAATGTGTTAGTTTCCTTTGTAGTTCACATAGGTGGGAGCACAGCTAGAATCAATCAAAAGGTAAAATCCAAAATACAGTATGTGTTAACCGGTAAGGGGAATAAAAAATCATTATAGTAATTTCAATACCTATAATGGTAGTGTTGTGCTGTCCTAAGAAAAAATGGGTTTCTGCAGTAAGAGTGTACTCTGTTGTGACAAAATTAAAGAGGATGAGTAATGAGGTTGTATGACAATTGTACCTGAGGTGGATTCATCCACTTTCTAATTAGCAAATATTCCAAAAAGCTGGTCTTAAATTGTGTTTGCTGACATAGTGAAACTTACACTTATTAACAAGAAAAAGCTACAACAATTGGGTATCTTGATTCATTGTTCTAATTAGAGAAAAGTGTTAATTGTTCAATCACAATTCCATCTCCCATGCCCTCCTCATAAGGGGAGGTAGTATTTTTGGTGTGTAAGTAACCAGTTCATCTGAGAAAACATAAGGCTTTTGCAAAACTTTTGAGTATTTAAAGTGGAAAAAGGTCATAAAGACAATCTGTATGAAGGAAGCCCAAATATTAAAGTGTAATACACAAGGCAAACATTTTTAGGGTTAAGTGGTCCGTGTTACAAATCTTGTGGTACACAGTTCAAGACTGTCACATTACCTGACAGACTGATGACCTCAATTTGCTTTGCTTTTCTCTGTCTCTTCAGTGATAATCAGTGTAATGTTAGCTTACTTGATTCTTCATAGCTGTGTTCAAACACAGGAATATCTTCCCAATATAGACAACTGTTTAGGTTTATTCAGCATGACTGTGTTCATACTAACAGAATGAAATTAAGTCCAAGCAACTTTTAATTCATGGTGGAGCATAGTTTTCTAGATGCACAAGTACGAGATCCTGCTGATCTAAGTTTTCTTTGAGCTGTCTTAAATATTTGTCACTCAGCAGTAGTATTCAGTCTTGGTTGTTTTTTTTTAAAGAGGGAGTGAAAGGAATTTGAGATTGAGAATTATGCAATTTATTTTTTGTTTGCTACTATTTTTATTACTTATTTTAAGATGATTTTGAATTATGAAGACTCGGTAACTTTTGAGTTGTGGGAAGCATACTGTAGTGGAGGTATAGTAACCATGAAAACTGATAATTTATTACATGCCTATAAAGCTGATGTATGCTTATTGAGAAGGATGAACATGGGTAGCAGAGATATAATTGTGCAAGTAGATTTGAATCCTGCAAAGTCTGAAGAACACAATTAATTTCATGTGCATTTTTAAAATTAATTAAAGTTGCTATCTGGGCATACACCAAAACAGGTGAATAAATCATTCCTGAGTTTTGAATTTTATGGTAATATCTGGTAAATACACATCTGGATATCCAGGGTTTTAAATTTACTGTAAGTTAACTGCCTATAAGTAGCCCTTCATACACCAAACAAGTCTGATTTCTCTTAATATTTCTAATAATATGATAAAATCACTTTGGTTTTATTGTTCTTGCATGTGAGATAAAGTGAAAATATTCAGGTGCATATTCATGGAATTATTAATTATGCAACACAATGTTTTAGGCACAGAGTCCTTTTTTTAACCTCTGTATGTTTGTTTGGGTTTTCTTTGAAGCTAAAAAGTTTTCCACATCAGTGAAATTTATGTGATTAAGTTCTTTTCCTAGAGAGTAAAAGCTTCAGAATATGCTTAAGTGTTTTCTTAGGTAATACAGTTGACTCAATAATTGCAGTTTCCTACAATTTCATATTGTGCTTGAAGCATGGATTCACTTACCTATTTTTTATGCCATTGATAGGATCATCATGCCCTATGTGTTTCATGCAGAAATGACTGACTTTATTTTTCTTGTTCTGCAGGCACCTTGGCAAAGAGGATAAACAGATTGTAATCCGTTTTGGTTTGAATATTAAAAAAGAATCTGAAGACTTGAATAAATCCAGTAATTTAAAAGCTTTCATCATGATTTACATGAGCAGCTGTTAAACCCACTATTAGTAACAAATTATTTGGAATGTCTTAGAGTTAAATGTAAATTAATTCAGGTATCAGCTGAGATTCACAACAGTTGCTATATTTGAGCCTATAAGCCCTCATAAAATTGAGCCCCTATCAGTGCTGGATTTCACAAAACAAGAGCTTTTCACCCTAAGATTATGAATTAGGTGAATTTTATTGTTTCAGTTCATGTTTTTATAGCTGCAAAAGGAAAGATGAGCATATGTCTTTAGGCAATTAAATACTACCATACCCTTGCTGAGCTAAGTCATGTTTTATTGATTACATAAGTCAAAAGGGAGTATATCCTCTTTTAATCAATCATGTGTATTCTTCCAGCCAAGCAAGTAGGGGGAGGAGAGCCATCTGTTTTCTAGATTTTGATATTGACCACCAGTTACAAGTGTGTTAGTTACAAAGGCAAGAAAGATGATGTGTTATGCTTCAGGAGAATAAAGTGAGGAAGATATATGTTCATCATCGATAAATTTAGATGAGGCACTATAAAAAGGTTCTTAAGCAGCAGTGAGGGGTGAAATTCTAGAAAAGCCAAGCAAGCACACAAGAGGGAACAAGGGGGACTATACGATGGTATTTTTAGATGTCAATTGCTGTATTTATTGATAAGATTGTACAACAGAACAGTGTCTGAAGCGGGGAAATGAAGCCTCAATACCATGCTTCAGGGCCTTTTTTGTTTCCATTAAAGTCACAACCATCTTCTCTCTTTATGGGTTGTGATTTAGCTTTTTGACGTAATTTATGATCTTCCAGTAAAAAAGTGGCTGCACACAGGCAAATTGTTCAGGTGATTAGCAATGTTATTGTAATGGAAATCCTGAAGTGCTTAATGGGTGGGTCCTTCTTAGCCTTAAACTATCAGAAAGATTAGGCAAATGAGATTGCATCCCCAGATAAGATGTGTTGTATCCTGCTTTGCTTTTCCTGTGTGATATGGGCTTCCTGTGTGGGATCATTTGCAACTTTCATTTATTTATGTAATTCCCCATTGTCGAAGGAGCCTAAAATATTTGTTAAGCTGTTGGTTTTCTTCCTTGTCTGCATGTGATTTTTTTGGCTATGCTTTTTTCATTTTACTACAGTTTGATTGTTACAGATTATAGGAAAAACTTTGTACTGTCACATGGAATACCCATTCTGTGAACCTTTCTGAGCAAGTCATCTATCACCTGGTTGCCGGCAGTCAAGGTGAAACTGAATGCGGTCACCCTGCCAGTGGTCCCTTTCAGTCCTGTGTTCCTAGGCTCAACCTCTTCAAAGACTGCTGTAATTAGATTTTCAGATGGAAAAGAGAGAAAAGGAGTTGTGATTCTCAGGGTCACAAGGTCTCTAAGCTGCTGATCTGTAATGCTGCTCCAGATTCAGATTTTATATGCATATTCCCCACTCATCATGCAACAAGCTGTAAAGTTAAATCTCCAGAGCTCAGATATTCAGCCTACTCTGTGGCTGCCTGCCCTTAAGTTTGTATCTACCCAGAAGAGATGAGTAGAAATAATTGAACTCGCTGACATGCAGCCCAGAATGTCCACACGATCAGGGTGCAGCCCAGGTACTGCAGGGAGGGAGTTGGGGGCCCAGCTATCGAACAGTGCCACTACTTTTCTTTTGCAGTGATTCTGGTGGTCTGAGTTCCTAGATCTATCTAACCAGAGAAACCATAACATTGAGCTGGTACATACAAAGTAGCAACTCTGATCAGGAAGCAGAAATGATGGGGAGAGTAGTGAGGGCAGTGCCAAGCAGAGTTAGCCAGAGGCTTCTTGACTCCCCGTTGGAGCCGAGTTGTATTAGACCTAAAGGCTATGCCTGACTAGGGGAGTTGGGACTTTTCCTTGGCTGCAGGAGTTAGTGTACCTCCCAACCAAGTCATCATTCCATTTTTGTCTTCCCCCCAAAGCTAATGCCTTGCCCTCCTCCTTACATGCACAGGTAGGCAAACAGGCAGCGGTAGTATACTCCAGAATGTGCTGTTGTGGACAGCCAATGACAAATAGGCTTTTGTGACCACTGGCATGTAGGGCACTGACTAATTTTTGGGTGGGGCAATAGTCCCTTCATTATGTTGTCCACTTAAGTTCAGCTTATGTTCACCTACCTTGATAAATTAGGTTCAGTGTATTGTAACAAAATAGATTAAAAAATGATGTCACTTTATTTCTTCTATTATACTTTCAACAGAAATGTTCTTAGCAGATCAGTAACATATACTTGTATTCATCAAACATTTGTAAAACAAGAAACTCCACTTGTAAATACTGATAAGGTTAGGTATTAGGGATACTAGAAGGAAGCAATGAAGTCTCAGAGCTGTCAAGCCAGTGAGACCCTGACTTTTTTCCCTGAGACAGCTA